AAGGCAAGACTTTCTAGGAGGGTCCCTCTGACATAAAATTTTCCAAGTGCCCCAATGACGTCATAGCTGTGAAACGGGACTGAAACAGTGTTTTATAATATATTACGCTTTGTTGCATATTAGGGAGTTTACGATCTACGACGCGACCGGCTCAACGACGCGGATAAAGTAAGGATCCAGCATCACTTATTGATCGACTGTTACTACAGATGGAAACCTAAACTAAACCAACTTTATTTATACTGGATAGCTCTATCAGTTCTAAACTGTTCTCCCTAGAGGTCCAGTAAGAATCATCTCGTATTGATCCAGCGCTACTACAGAAGAAAACCTAAACTATAAACTAACTTTATTTATACTGGATAGCTCTATCAGTTCTAAACTGTTCTTCCTAGTGGTCAAGTAAGGATCATCTCTTAATGATCCAGTGTTACTACAGAAGGAAACCTAAACTAAACTAACTATATTTATACTGGATAGCTCTATCAGTTCTGAACTGTTCTTCCTAGAGGTCCAGTAAGGATCATCTCTTATTGATCCAGTGTTACTACAGAATGAAGCCTACACTATTAAAAACAAACTTCATTTATATCGGATAACTCTATCAGTACTAAACTGTTCTCGCTAGAGGTCCATGCAGTAAAGATTATCACTTATCGATCATATCCACTGTTACCATGCATAAAACGGAGAAAATCTACACTAAACTAACGTCTTCATGTCACTGGAAGTGGCACGAAACTTAGATCGAGTAGCGATAAATAAATTCATTCCAAAATTTTATTATTTTTAAGATTTAATATGTTTTCAAAACGGATCAGTCACAAAATTATACTAAAATGACTTGATATTTGATAATTTCAAATTTGCATGCTTGTCTAACTTTCAGTATTTTGGAACAGAACGTATAAAAATAGATAATTACAACTGACTTCCTACAGTATATTCTTCACAATTCAAGGAATCCAAAACAAAACCCATGCAAGGAATAGAATTCCAGCTGGCAGAGGTTTAGAAACCTACTTAGCAGGGTAATAATTACTTCAATACCCCCTGAAGACGCTAGTATGCTTTGTTATGTGAAAATCAAAAGGAAAAATTATTAAATTAAATTTGCCCGGCTGGTAATGAACCATCGGAGTTTTTTATTTGTATATTTACGTTTCCAGTATGGCTAGCAGAGAGTCGGGAAAGGTAATTCAGTGATAGATTCTTTTTGTTTCCTTAATTTCAATAGGAATAAAATCCGTGAAACCGTTCGTGTTATTTTGGTGAAATGTGCGCGGTAGCATGTGCCCACTTTTATCAGTTTAAAATAAACTATTTGGGCTAGGAATATATAGATATTTAACATGGGGAAACAATAATTAACTAGAGGTTGTTTGCATGCATAACTAGACATAAACATATATAGGAAACTAAATAGATATTTCCGTTGCCCTCAGTTTTTCAACTATGCTTTAACTTAAATAGAATATACATGCATGATAGTGTTGAAAAAGCCTAAGAACAGCTAACCAAGATCACGTGACTGCCAACTCTCATTGACGATAATCCTCGTTTGAGAGGGAGCGTTTCACTCTTCTTAATCGTCGTTTGTTGGGATTTTAAATCTGTGATCTCGTCTGAAAGACCTGTCAGTTGTTGCAAATTTTACCCCTAACAGTGGCTGGTTATGCTATACGCTGGGTTGCTTTTGTTATGTAAAAATCGGAAAAAACATTCAACCATTTTTGGCTTATTAGTTTCGAAACCATAGTTAAAGCAGTTCTTCATTGTACCTCTACGTTTTCAGTAGGGCTGGCGGACAGGTAATTTACTATTCGCTTAATTATTTTGTTTCCTTACCAAACTTAATTGACTATTTAGGTGGCACAAAGAAGCGAAATATGTAATCATTCGCGTCAGATTTAATACCAATATGTTATGCTAGTTTGCTTTTGTTATATGTGAAAATCAAAATAAAACAGAAATATTAAATTTTGTTTGACTGATAATGAAACATGATCCCCATTAATCAATGCAGTTACAAAACCAATGAAAGTGAATGGCAGAATTCCTCTGCAGTGCTTTTGATTCGAGTATCTTCGCGTTTTGAATATGGCTAGAGGACAGTCGAGTAAGGTAATTTATCCTTCTTAATATAGTTTAATTTAGCCTTCTCAATAGTTTACCATCATTTTAGACTTATCAGTCCAAATGAAAATAATCTATTTATTACTTTCGCTTTTGATATTTTCTTTTTATAGTTCATTCGGCTATAATTGTAACGTAAAAACTGCGCTTAAACGATAACGTCACTCCGTTATAGCGATAGATATGTAAGAACCTATATTACCTATAATCCGATTCAAAACTACATTTCAAAAGCGAAGCAGTATACTGTGGTGCCTTTCCGTGCCAAATATCGATCATAAAGTCAAGAATGCCTGATGTAAATGGAAGGCCTAGATAAACGTGCAGTACAGTACTATTTTTTCCGTTTTCCCCCAACTATTCTACCCAAACAGTGCTAGCTTCTATATTGTAGTTGAAGAAATTAATGAAGGCCGTCAACAAATAGGTTGCGCCACTCTTAACGTCAATGGTCAATGTCATTAAAATTGTTTTTATGTGATGAAAACTCACCTTAACTTTTCTTGATGAAATGCTTTGCAAATTTTGCTAAAATCAACCAATTCCACGGGCATTTAATAGGACAAGTGCGATTTGACTACGAGTTAGAATTAGAAAGTGGTTTCAGCATATATACATTGAACTGTATACAAAATATTGTTTGTTCTCCAAGGTTGCCAATGTTTCTTTTTTGTATATATTAAGAATATAAAGTGGAGGGGGTGAGGGGGTTGCAACCTTAACGGCCAACTTGCCGTTAAGCGTGACGGCGAAAAATTTCAGCGACGGCACTGGCTGGGGAATTTTGCGTGGCGCGTGGAAATAACGTGTGCACCTGACACAAAAATTAAGGTTATCGACTGTGAGTTTCCGCTCTGCATATCTCTCCTCTGTGCCTAAATGCTTGATATTATTAAAATCCATACTTGATTTAGCAGGCTACAAAATTTTCACTATTCTGTTACTATAGTCACGCGATCCAGAACAAATCCGATGTAATCCTGCAATAACTCATCAGCATATAAATAAGTACCGAAATTATTGCCCGGAAAAATGCGACAATTGCAGACATCTGATGCAGAAGACAAGTGTGATTGTGGCAGAATCTGGAAAATCATGTCGTGAGGATTTCGAGATTACGTGCCATGGTGATCATATTGCCTTGTGTTTCTGGTCAGGTTCTCGGGGAAACAGAATTGTGGTGCAAGTGGTTAACGGGGAAATACATGTAACAACAGATAGAAAAACTTGGCAAGAGTCCCTTCGGAGTGTATTTCAACGAAACTGGAAAAGTTTATTGGGTACTTTTCTCTGTGTTGCAGGGGGGGCAATGATCACATTTGGATCAGCTGTCCCTGGTCTGCCCGTGGTAGGAGGAGGTCTTACTACGCTTGGTGTCGCTCTTCTCAAAGGTAACTCTAATAACGCAATAACTGATGGGAAGACATACCAAATAACTGAAAAGTAGGTTAAATACTTAATATAGTTTAAATACTTGCGGGTCTTTGATAATCATCAATGTAATATACAGAGTGCACTAACATGTAAAAGCAAAATTGTACAGTATATGTAAAAGTAGCACTTTTCAGTCATCGTTCTTTAACCGTATTGTTCCACTGTGGAATCATACTTGCAAAATTGCTTCTCCTGGAGATCTTCGCAGTTTGGCAACGTTTAAATCCTTCTTATCAAGAACATACTTCAATTTATTAAGTAGTAGTTTTGATGTTGACATGTGCTGTACGTGGTCTTTGTATCGTAACTGTTCATGCCATAAAAATAGTTAATTCTGATGTAAACATATACCAGCTCCAAACATATACCAGCTCCTCGTGTCAGGTTTTGTTTTATCCTGATTCAGCTTTCAAATTTTGAACATGATTATACAGATCTGTATTATAAGCATGACAACTTGAATGCGGTGCAATAGCGTCCTAATTTGATATCAATCAGCTGGTATATGTTTACCAATTTACAATATTGTCGGAAATAATGATTTTAGATGTAAACAAAATTCAAGAGGGAGAGTGCCTCGCATGGGTCTCGAGTCACGTTCGCACTCTTGCCGTTTGAACATCGTTCAATAAAGCTGTCAAAACTATATTCTTAAAATTATTTTGAAAAGCACTGTATTTTTGTGTACAGCAGCCGTTGTTTTCTAGAACCGCTTCAAAAACGCATTAATAATTCATGAAGCAATTATCCAATCTTGAGTAAGAAATTAGTTTTTGATTGATTGATTGACATCTTTATTTAAAACACGAGGTCCATTTCACAGGTTATGTTATGTGCTCTTCAATGGAGACGTGTACCTATACTAGTCGACTAATTACTAATAAAAAGGTATCAAACTATTTACAAAAGTAACAAACTACACATGCAAAGAAACTAATATAAAAGAAATATTAAGATATTTTAGATTTAAACTCAGCGAGAGATTGAACTCCAGTGAGTTCGGCAAGTATGTCATTCCATAGGGTAGCTCCTCTATAGGAAAAATTTTTCTTCAAAGATTCCGTTAAGGGTCTTGGTACAAAAAGTTTATGATTAGATTCATTTTAGAGTAGTTTTATATGGTTAACCCAACTCCTGACGTCATCGAAACCATAGTTAATGAGGTCAAGAATTACTGAATTAGTCCAAGATGGCGCACAGCTCATTAATTTCGCTCTAAATATTTCGAAAACTAAGCAAGATACGACAAATTGGTAATGTAGTTTAATATATAATTTTAAGAGTTCTTTTGAATAAGACAAACTAATTTTATATTTTATATACCCTGTATAATAGTCAGAAATTCGTGGCATTACCTGTAAATTAGCTGAGTGTAGCTAAGTGTAATTGTTTCACGTTAAATAAATAAATTGTATTGTATTGTATTCACCTTTATGTATTCCTTATTCATAATAATTTTTCATCCTTTATACCAGCGGGAATACTTTATACCCTGAACCACTCCCATGGGATTCAAGGACAAAAAGATTTTCGCTATGTTGCTACTTTAAAAGATATGCGGTATGGCGCCAACGCAAGTCGAAGATGAACACGAACCCAAATATTATATATATATAGTTTGTATTCGTGATGAAAACGTTCGTATTCTTTAGTAAAGTTATAGGCTACGGCCCAGATACATCGAACAATATTCGAGAACGCAGCGCAATTCTTCGCTTTTTAATTTATCGACAGATATTTGAACGTCACGACATTGAACCTTTGTGTTAAATTAATACCTTTATATTTTTATTATTAAAATGTTGTCATTGGGCGTTCTTCGTAAAAAACTCGTGTTGAGCACTCTTTTACATTGGCGTGATGTATAACAGTACAATTATGTCATTTAACTATGGATAGCAGACAATTGAATAAATATCTTGCACACAGGGTACAGTGCCAATAATGATGACCCATAATGCATATAACATATTCCACTTTCACTTACAATTCAATCCGTTGCATCTGCATGTGGAATTTACTAAAGTTCATCAATCATTACCGATCAGCTCAAACTGTATGGCGCATATTGTGAAAGTTTTAAGTGCATGTTCAATCGTTTGTGTTTCGTGTAGCCACAAACGAACTGCGCTAAGTTGACGTAAAGGTGCAACTTATTAAAGTTGGACGGTTACACGAGCAACAAAATTACTGCAACTTGCAACAAAATCTGATTTCAACGCATGTTAACTAGAAATGTCGACACATGTTGCCTTGTGATTTATGTGTAAAAATGTTCAATTAACATGTGTTGAAATCCGATTTTGTTGCAAGTTGCAGCAATTTTGTTGCTCGTGTAATTCCACCTTAAGTTGCTCAAAAAATCGGCTCACGCTACCCTGATTCCACAGGCTTTTATTTCGGGAACGTTAGAACGGCGAGGCAAAATAACGGTGACGCAAACGAATATACTTTGCGAACACAATTTGCGAGGCTCCAATCATAAACTTTTTGTTCCAAGACCCTTAACTGAATCCTTAAAAAGAAGCTTTACTTATAGAGGAGCTACCCGGTTATGGAACGACATATATACAGCTATTTCAATTAAGGTTGTCCACGAGCAAAGCGGAAAAGTCGAATACAAGCGCGAAAGGCTGCTGGGACTCGTTAATAAATTAATGAATTTTCAAAGCGATTCCCAGCAGGGGCGGCGGAACGGATTTCAGTTTGGGGGGGCTAAATTTTTTTTACATTCCACAAGCTGGAATTGTTCCAGTGTGAACACATCTTGATGACAAGTTGTTGGAACAGCATTGTTAGAAGTCTGCCGCAAGTTTGTAACAACGATCAAGAACATAGCATGAAAATTTGGTAAATGTAAGGTTTCAAATATTGAATGTGTGGTTTTGATGTAGGAGTAGCGACGGACCATATAAGGGAATACTGGAAAAATATAAATTAGAAGCTTTTGTCTTTTGTCTGCAGGAAATAACGTTGGAGGTCCTGCTATTTATTTATCAAGTAATTTGGTCTTGTAATATATCTGCACAATATATTGCCCTTCTTCAGTAATAGTTAATTGCTCTCATTTGAGTCCTTCAAGGGAAATTCCTGATTTTCTTTCTAATTCTTACCAAAGAAAGCCAAAAGCAAAAGTGTCATTGACGCAAATACAATCATTGTCCATTGAAGCAATCACATAATCCACCGGAAATTTCTATGAGAAAATTCCATTCCATTTGATTTGAATTCCTTGAATTTTTAAAGAAGTTTTGAACACAGTTTATTATCACTTTCAGTTTAAAAGGTGTCGGAAATTTGCTTGTATAAATGTTTGAAAAAATTAGATAATTTTTTCAAACATTAGAAGCAAATTTCCGACAAAATGATATCATTTTTTCCAACATCATTATACAAGCAAATTTCCGACACCTTTTAAACTGAAAGTGATAATAAACGGTGTTCAAAACAAATGGAATTTCCGGTGGATTATGTGATTGCTCAATTGCGCTTTTTTATTCGTATCTTCACGTTTTTCCTATGGGGAACAGAGCGTCGAATAAAGAAGTAAGTTCATTGATCTGTGGTGAACTTTTTGTAAAGAGAATGTAAAGAAATTAAGATACAAGACTTAGCAAGCTTTGTTTGGCATATTTATTAATATATAGTTTCGTACCACGTATATATAACGTGGCGCTCTTCAAGTAAATAAGGATCATCACTTATTGATCAAGTGTTACTACGAGAGGAAACCTAAACTAAACTTTATTTATACTGAATAGCTCTATCAATTTCAAACTGTTCTTCCTAGAGGTCCAGTAAAGATCATTATTTATTATCTAGTGTTACTACAGGAGGAAACCTAAACTAAACTAACTTTATTTGTACTGGATAGCTCTATCAGTTTTCAACCATTCTTCCTAGAGGTCCAGTAAGGAATGGATCATCTCTTATTTCAATCCAGTGTTACTTTAGAAGGAAACCTAAACTAAACTAACTTTATTTATACTGGACAGGTCTATCACTTTTCAACTGTTCTTTCTAGAGGCCGGTCCAGTAAGGATCATCTCTTATTGATCTAGTGTTACCACAGGAGGAAACCTAAACTAAACTAACTTTATTTATTTTGGATATGTTCTATCAGTATCAGTATCAGCACAGGCGGCCCAATCTCGCAAGGGTCAGTATAGACTTATAGTATAAATGTATATTATATTATATTTTTGTATATTATAGTAAAAATATGTCGTAAAATATAAATTTTAAAATGAAATTGACTTGCCTATTTGATAGTGTGTGTTCTCCTTTTATTCCTCCTTTGTTGGACTAATATTTTCCGAGACTTTGTACTCGATGTTACTAGTATACATGAAACATGATAAAGGCTAACCATTCCCGATCGTGGATACGACGGCACGGCACTTCGAATCGAAAGATTTCACACTCAAATCGCTTTATTCTCCAAAAAAATTCGCCAGCATGTACAACAAATGCCGTTCTTCGAAAATACGGAGGTACTTCAGCGAGATGTACAAGTTTTGGGCCATATTTTAACAATGGAAATCAAAACCCATTTTATATTGAACTTGCCCAGGCCGAAAATTACTACGGCGAACGTCTGCGCAACCAGGCCTCCTTTACCGTTGGATTTACAGGGGGGAAGCAGATATTTCCGGTAACAGCCAGCCAATCGCGGCCGCGATAGCGACTGTTTACATTATTTGAAATTTGATATTCAAAATAAAAACTCCTTCGATCGGATACTGTATAAAACTCGAGATGTTGTCGAAGAAAATAAAATTAAACGACGGAGATTGAAGAAATTTAAGGAAGAAGTAATATACAGCGGCTCTTGGTTGGAAAGTATGGTAGAAGTACCTCTGTATTTTCGAAGAACGGCATTTGTTGTACATGCTGGCGAAATTGTTTGGAAAATAAAGCGATTTGAGTGTGAAAATTTTCGATTCGAAGTGCTGTGCCGTCGTATCGACGATCGGGAATCGTTAGCCTTTATCATGTTTCATGTATACTAGTAACATCGAGTACAAAGTCTTGGAAAATATTAGTCCAACAAAGGAGGAATAAAAGGAGAACACACACTATCAAATAGGCAAGTCAATTTCATTTTAAAATTTATATTTTACGACATATTTTTACTATAAGTTTATACTGACCCTTGCGAGATTGGGCCGCTGTGGTATCAGTTCTAAACTGTTCTCGCTAGAAGTCATGCATGCAGTAAGGATCATCACTTATCGATCCACTGTTACTATAAAAGAGAAAACCTAAACTAAACTAAACTAACGTCTTTTATGTCACTGGAAGTGGCATGAAATTCAAAGCAACGATGAAATAATTAATTCCAAGATAACAGGTCAATTCGCTCTGCTAAATATTTGTAGCTAGTACTGAGCATAAACTCTTTTGTCTGTGGTCATCACGAAATAAATTCCCCACTAATTCTACCAGCAAATTCGCTTTCCTTAAAATTTTGTCTACGAAGAGAAAAACATTACCATTGGGAATTGAACGTTATTGCTTAAGAAAACTTAATGCGCATGCAATAACCTTTCCTAGTATTCTCAATTATAATTCAAAGAAACCAAAAGCAAAAGGAATGGAATTTCCGGGTGGTTATAATTTTTAATGTCAGTTGATCATCGTTTTAAGACCGTCAATGTCGGTTTTTGAAATATATTAAATGCTGCTGTTGCTTCTTCACTCTTCTTAATCGTCGTTCGTTGGGATTTTAAATCTGTGATTTCGTCTGAAAGATCTGTCAGCTGTCGCAAATTATACCCCTAACAGTGCCAGCTAGGTTATGCTATTTAAAGCTGGTTTGCTTTTGTTATGTAAAAATAGGGAAAAAATTCAAACCATTTTTGGCAAATTACTGTTTCGAAACCATTCAAAGCAGTTCTTCATTTCTGCATATTGTACCTCTATGTTTTCAGTATGGCTGGCGGACAGGTAATTTATATTATTCGTTTATTGTTTCCTTACCAAACTAATTGACTAATTAGGTGGACCAAAAAAGCGAAATATGTAATCATTCGCGTCAAATTCACGTTCCTTTCGGTTAGTCTTGTGTTTATACTCGGATATAGATGACTCGATCATCTCAAGTACAAATCGGCCACGACCCTGTTATGTTGGTGAATTGTTATATGTGGGAAGCTCGTTCTCCTTCATAACTGCACCATGAGCGACACAATTTGTGGACCGATCAAGCTAAAACGTATCTATAGACAGGAGGAATTTTTTAAGAGAGGCTATAATTCATATACAGTAAATGAAATACGCCTGAACTGTCTGTGCTGGTATGTAGGCAGTGTCAATAATAAGAAAGCTTCGGATTCGACGGATCAAAAATACAAGGAGAAGTTCGACGTTTCGAGCGACGAATCCCTATCAATCCGAAGGTTTATTGAACAAAATTTTGACTATTGTGTTACTAGGATCGTGAAATGGAAGAAATTCAATGTAGTCCAGCAGTAACTCATCAAGATATAAATCGATACTGTGACTATTGCCCACAAAGATGCGACAAATGCAGACGTGTAATGCAGAATGCACTTCAGATTGTTACAAAGACCGAAGAATCGGTTCGTAAAAATTTCCAGATCACGTGCTATTGTGAACATTTTTCCTTATGTTTCTCGTCTGGCAAGCGGGAAAACGAAATTGTGGTTCAAATGTTTGAAGGAGAAATTGATGTAACTCTCACTAATCGAAATCAGGTAATTATAATGTTGGTTTCTTTAAATACCAAATAAGTTGTTTGACGGCAGTAAGTTGCATGAACGTGATAGGAAAATATAAATTTTCCGATGTAGATTTTTCTAATTTACCAGGAGACTAATTTCACAAGCCAAATGGTTTCTAATAGACTCCTGACCCTTTTGTGTTGATATTACGCTAATTTTTAGTACTATAGTTAATAAGTTTAAACATGAGCAGCCAATCTTTATCTGATATACAAAATCGAGCTGAAGGCGAGAGTTTCGGTATAACAGATAAAGATCGGATGCGAATGTTTTAACGTGCTCAAAAAACGACCCATCTTATGAGTTCATTGGCGAAGTAATTTTAAAAACATTGTCTAAGCCGAGAAAATCAAAGCTGAAGTTTATGTAAATCAGGACATATCTTTAATATCCGGATTTACAAACATTGATTAAACATTCATTTTTTTTAATTGTCTTCATGAATTATTATTGAGTGTTTTAAATATTATTATCGTATTTGAGCGCGGTACTATATGATAAAACGGAAAACTAATAGAGTTAATCTTATGAATAACAAACAATAAGAATTGGCTGAATGCTCGGCTATGCTCGCAAACCAAAATTTCATAGCTAACTGGCAATTCGTTTCTGTAATACTAATACACACGCATCAAATTCGAAACATAGGTATATGTATATATATATACGCATGGGTATAAACTATACATTAGTACACGCAGACAAATTAAAAAGAGTTTACTAAATAACATGAATGGCCCTTCATTTAGGAAGAAATCTAACCTGTTTCTTATAAACAGTTCATTATCAAATGCAAGGGAAACATCACGTATAATTTTATTTTGTTTTGTTTCAAAAATAACGTGTTAACCAGTTTTATGAGCAGACAGTTAGTTGACCGTATCTATAAAGTAAACTTTTTTTAAAGCTTTATTTAGTACTATAAGTACTGTAGCTAGTACCACAACCAGTACCGTGTGAGAATTATATATATGCAATTAATAATAAAAGCTCAGCTATTTAAACGTGTCGCATTAATTAGTGATTCTAGCGAATGAAAGAGAGTGGGAATATATTTTATCGAGCACACCCAAACGTGTCAAACCACAGGCTTTTGAGAATAGTTAGCTCTTGAAAGCTAATTCGATGGGTATTCAAAAGTTAAACAGGCTCAAAACACATGCAAACCAACACAGAAAAGTCAAAAATATACCTTAATTCGAATTTTGTTTATATCAATTCAAGATAGTAATTACTTGGGAAGTCTGTGGTCATCACGAAATAAATTCCCCACTAACACATACACAGTTCTACTAGCAAATTTGCTTTCCTTAAAATTTCGTCTACAAATAGCAAAATATTGCCATTGAGGTCGAACGTCATTGCTTAATTAGAAAACTAGAGTTTAAATCAAATGCGCAATAACTTTTCCTAGTATTCTCAATTAATTCAAGGAAACCGAAAGCAAAAGTAATGGAATTTCCGGTCCGTTATAGTATTTAATGTCGATTGATCATTGTTTTAAGATTGTCAATGTCGGTTTTTGAAATATATTAAATGCTGCTGTTGCTTTTCATTCTTCTTAATCGTCGTTTGTTGGGATTTTAAATCTGTGATCTCGTCTGAAAGATCTGTCAGCTGTCGCAAATTATACCCCTAACAGTGCCAGGTTATGCTAATCTAAGCTGGTTTGTTTTTGTTATGTAAGAATGGGGAAAAAATTCAAACCATTTTTGGCGAATTACAGTTTCGAAACCATTCAAAGCAGTTCTTCATTTCTTCATTGTATCTCTACGTTTTCAGTATGGCTGGCGAACAGCTAATTTACATTATTCGCTTATTGTTTCCTTACCAAACATAATTGACTATTTAGGTAGGACAAAAAAGTGAAAATCAAATATGTAATCATTCGCGTCAAATTCAAGTTCGTTCCGGTTAGTCTTGTGTTTATCAGTGGCGGAAATCTCGGGGGGCGGGAGGGCGACCGCCCCCCCCCCCGACCTTGCACGAAAAAGAACGAATTTTCGGAAATTTTTACCTAATAGAGGGCTAAAAACAGCCTTTTCGAGCGCAAATGGGGGGGGGGTGTTGTCGGAAATTTGAAAGTTTTTTCGGAAATTTAAGAGGCTTTGTCCCCCCCCCAACCAGAAAAATGAATTTCAGCCACTACCTGCAAAAAAAGGAGACGTTCGACGTTTCGAGCGACGAATCCTTATCAATGTATTTATGTATAAATCTTTATTAAAATATTAAAAGCAACACCTCACAACAAACGTGCGGGCTTACAATTTGCACTTACTTATCAATAATTATTATACTAATTTCAGAATTAGTATTGATATTATTCATTAATAGAGCTAAAATATCATTATTATAATGTTTAATGAAGTTCCTAAGAAGTTAATTTCTAATTTAAAAATATCATATGAAGTTAAAAAGACATCTATTAACGAACACTCTTTTAAACCTTTCTGTTCGAACTCTCGGTAGTTCATACTCATGTCCGCGATTGCGTAATTCTAATTGACGACTAGGAGGCAGCAAAACTTGTAGGGCATTGTTGGGATCCGTAGTTATTTTCTCCCATAAATCTCTGTCTTTATTGTTTAATATATCAACAATCGATACCTGATAAATAAGATATCCATACTTATATGCACGTTTTAAACGTTTTAAAAGTTTATCTACTTGACTAAGATACTTAGAATACGACGCACATCCCCAGACCTCTATACCAAAAACTATTATTGATAAAATAAGACTATGGAACAGAAGATCCAGCTCTTTCCTAGAAAACCCGTAGTATTTGCAAATCCGAATAATGTACATTCTGCTACAGGCTTTACTCATTAATTCTAGATGCATGTCCCACATGGAAGGTTTATTGAACAAAACTTTGACTATTGTGTTACTAGGATCGTGAAACGGAAGAAATTCAATGTAGTCCAGCAGTAACCCATCAAGATATAAATCGACACTGTGAGTATTGCCCACAAAGGTGCGACAATTGCAGACGTGTAATGCAGAAGGCACGTGTGATTGTTACAGAGACCGAAAAATCGGTTCGTGAAGATTTCCAGATCACGTGCTATTGTGAACATTTTTCCTCGTGTTTCTCGTCTGGCAAGCGGGAAAACAAAATTGTGGTTCAAATGGTTGAAGGAGAAATTCGTGTAACTACAACTGAGCGAAGTCAGGTAAATATAATGCTGGTTTCTTTAAATACCAAATAAGTTGTAAAAGAAGTTAAAAAACTCATTAATAATTCATGTTAAAGAACGACCCATCTTATGATTACCTCGAGAAATCAAAGCTGAAGTTTATGTAAATCAGGACAAATCTTTATCCGATTTACAAACATTGATTAAACATTCATTTCTTTTGAATTTTCCTCATGAATTATTAATGAGTTTTTTAAATATTATTCATTGTATTTGGACGTAATATATGATAAAACGGAAAACTATATAGAGTTAATCTTATGGATAACAAATAATAAGAATTGGCTGAATGCTCTTTGCTCACAAACCAAAATTTCATAGCAAACTGGCAATTCGTTTCTGTAATACTGTGACGCGCATCAAATTCGAAACATAAGTATAGAAGGCCAAAAACTGTTGCAGTATATGTTTCAGTTTGTGCTTTTTTCGCCTGCGCGTCTTCCACACAGCGGTTCAATACGGTAAGCGTCATGTAAAGCGCCATGTAAAGCTCATTGAAATCTCTGCGGAGGAGAGAGGGTATAAACGATAAATTAGTGTACAAGCAGACAAATTAAAACGAATTTACTAAATGATACCAATGACCTTGGTTTCAATGGCGTAACGGGGAAAGAGGGGGCCCTTAGGCATGTTTGGTGTGGGGGCCCCTGTCGACTGTTTGTTGGTATATTATATTTAGCTATATTGAATATTTATAGCATGTTCTGGAAAATTCTATCTCTATAACAACAACAGTTTCCAACATAACTAAAGGGTCGATTACATGGAGAACTTTCAACACCAGGGTTGAAGTCAGCTCTGTTAATCAGGTTTAAATTTTTTGCGATTACATGGATGATTTCAACCCCGGGGTTGAAATGCTATACGTTCCCGGCATTGACTCCCGGAAGTAAAAAATGGCTCCATTTTGTTTTCTTGTAATAAATAGTCCCTACCACGCATGCTCGAATAACTCATAATTTCAGCCCCGGGTTGAAAATTGGTTGAAACGATTACATGACAAAATTTTCAACCCAGGGCCAAGTTCAGTCCGGGGTTGAAACTTCAACCCTGCTAGCTGAAGCATGGGTTGAACTCGGCCCTGCGTTTGGGTGAAAAATTTTATCATGTGATCGCGCGTTTGATTTGATAGAATTTTGTATTACAAACAGGGCTGAAATTTCAACCCGGTCAACTGGGCTGAGTTAAATCCCAGGGTTGAAAATGCTCCATGTATTCGGCCCCTAATAAGAGTAACGTTTGTTTTATTTGAGATGGAATAACAAAATCAGAATAGCACTATTAATTTTGCATTTTCCCATCGATTCTTTACCTGCATTTTTTACGTTTACTAATTTTCTGGGCGACAGGCCGTGGCTGATGGGGGCCCCTAACTGTCGGGGGCCCTTAGTTTTCTAACTAACCCTACCTAGTGACCATTACGCCACTGCTGGTTTCCAAGAGGAACTTTCATTTAGGAAGAAATTTAACCTGTTTCTTATAAACAATTCATTTAAATCAAATACAAGAGGAATCGATCATGTATAATTTTATTTTGTTTCGTTTGAAAAATGTGTTAATCAGTAGTTTTATTGATATGGGCAGTTATATTGACCGTATCTATAATGAAACGATGTTTTGTCAAGCTTCATTTAGTACTATGGTCCATGAGACTGATGAGAAAGTTATATATCGGCAATTAATAATAAAGGCTCAGCTGTATAAACGTGTTGCGTTCAGACGCTGGGGAAACATTTCGAAAGTGGAGGGGCATTGGACAACAGGGGCACTTTTGTATGCGATCAAAATCAAACGATTTTATGTCGTTCACGAGCCGAACAAAATTTTTTGTTTTTCTATAACGTCGGAATACTACTGCAAAAAGGGCACTTTCTTTCCAGCAAAGAAGGCGTTCATTCAAGTAATACTTTTTTCGTTCATTAAATGAGGTACTTTCGCCCAGAAAAAGGGCACTTTTTTCACTTTATACGTAAGAACCTATAATCCGATTCAAAACTATCAGAAGCGAAGCAGTACAGCGCCTTTCCGTGCCAAATATCGCTCATATAGTAAGAGTGTCTAATGTAAACGGAAGGCCTAGATAAAAGTATACATTGTTTTTTTTCCGTTTTCCCCAACTATTCTACGCAAACAGTGCGAGCTTCTATATTGTAGTTGCTCTATAGAAATATATACGTTTTTATTACTAATTCTAATCTCGTTCTTACATTATACCTTGGAAAGCTTTGTGAAACGTGAATCGCTCGTTGTGTCTTCAGACCTGGAGATAATTCTAGCTTTTCTTGGATCCTAAGCCAGGGGGAAATATTTTCTTTGAAAACACTGATATGAAATTTAGGCAGCGGGGGCGGGGTATTTTCTTTGAAAACACTGTCATAAAATTTAGTTGGTTTAACAGCACTTAAATTTTGACTGTAACAGCTGTTAGGCATTAACTGCACTTCACAGGCTTCACTGTTAACAAAATCTATACAATTAATCAATAAATTGGATATTCGATAATAATAATTATTTATCTTCTGTAATCAGTGGCAAATACTGCAATTTCATTGGTTTACAGAAGTGCGATTTGAGCATTAATCGCACTTTTTCTGAAATGTAATCGCACTCTTGTCTACAGCCAATGAAAATCAGTCTAGTATTTACAACTAGCAAACAGCATTCAGGATACAAACTTTGAATTTGATTTTCTTCATTGCTGTAAAAATTCTCAAAATGGAGAATTTTAAAATCATAAATTCTATTTTTATGCTTTTTCCCCTTAAACAGTATTAATGCCATAATCATACTCGAGGTTAACAAATCAACCTCCCGCTACGCGGTCGGTTGATGTTGTAATCACTCGTATGATTATGGCATTAATAGCACTCCTATTCGTTCTATTACCATCATTAATTAATTCTATGTTACTAGTGTTAGCAACTTAGGTCTTATACTAAAACTCTCTGTACCAGTGTGAGTACTGGGTAGTACCAATGCCGAGTGGTTATATAACTACCTGAAAAAAAAAGCAGAAACTCGACATCGAGGTAGTAATATAACCACTCGGCACGACAACTTAGGTCTTATAGCATATCAAATTAAATTGTAATAAATGCTTATATAGTGTAATAGCTTCTTACAGTTGTAGTTATATAACTTATAACAGTTTATTACTACCTGATTTGACATTTGCAAGTTGTTTGATGAAGAAATTTAAATTTCAAGGAATATTTTTTTATGTATGCTCAAGTGAAACTTTTTTTTTGACCGTTTGGGTATCAGGTGATATCACTTATATCAACCTTTTCAGTTGTAAGAAAATTTAGGAAATTTTTAACGTTTTTGTTGATTTTTATGGATAATTTTTTTAAATAAATTTCAAAACTTTCTGCTAAAGAAAATTGAAAATCCTTTCCAGCAATCAAAACATTTTCTAGGAACGTCGTTCCCAGGATCCAGCACTATTACCAGGTCTGTGTGTTCGTCGTCTTTGGTTCACAACCAGGTCGAGAGCGCTTATTCAGTCGTAAGAGGAAATTAATAAAGGCCGTAAGAGGAAATTAATAAAGAAGAGAAAATTAATAAAGGAAATTAATAAAGGAAATTAATAAAGGAAATGAATAAATTAAATAGGTTTTGCCACGCTTAACGTTAAGGGGGGAAAGGGGTCGTGGTCAATGCTGTTAAAAATGTTTTTATGTGATGAAAACTCACTTTAACTTTTCTTAACGAAATACTTTGCAAACTTCGCTAAAATCAACCAATTCCATGGGCATTTAATAAAACAAGCGCGATTTGACTGTCTACGAGTTCGAAAGTGGTTTCAGCATACATTGAACTGTATACAAAATATTGTTTGTTCCCCAAGGACAAGATTGCCGATCTTTATTTTTTTGTATATATTAAGAATGTAAAGTGGAAAGGTGAAGGGGGTTGCGACCTTAACGGCCAACTTACTTGCCGTCAAGCGTGGCGAAACCTATTTGTTGACGGCTCCTAAATGCTTGATGATATTATTAAAATCCATATTTGATTTAGAAGGCTATAAAATTTTCACTATTCTGTTACTATAGTCACGTGATCCAGAACAAATCCGATGTAATCCTGCAGTAACACATCTGGATATAAATAAATACCGAGATTATTGCCCGAAAAAGTGCGACAATTGCAGACATCTCATACAGAAGACAAGTTTGATTGTGACAGAAACCGGAGAATCATGTCGTAAGGATTTCGAGATTACGTGCCATGGTGATCATATTGCCTTGTGTTTCTGGTCAGGTTCTCGGGGAAACAGCATTGTGGTTCAAGTGGTTAACGGGGAAATATATGTAACTACAAATAGAAAAACTTGGAACGAGTCCCTTCGAAGCGTATTTCAACGCAACCGGATAAGTTTATTGGGTACTTTTCTCTGTGTTGCTGGGATGGCAATGAAGACATTTGGATCAAGTATTCCTATTCCTTATCTGCCCGAGATAGGAACAGCTCTTGTTTTGATTGGTACCGCTGTTTCCGGAGCTGACGCAATAACTGATGTGAATACATACCAAATAACTTAGGTTAAATACTTAAAGTGGAAGTCAAGTTCGTCCTGCGCATCGGTTCTGCTCATAACAATGTGAGGACCTCTAATGTGAAAATTGCGGCCCAAATTTCGATTTTTTTTTAACTTAAACTTTATTTCATATTCATTTAGAAGCATAGCGAACCAAAATAGTGTTAGATATTCAGACAGTAAATCATATTTTATAACCAAAAGCAATTACTAATTCCGCGGTTAAATAACCCTCACCCCTTTAGCTTCGAACTAATTCTGGATATCCACGTTTCATTCCTACCAATATTACATTGCTATGACGTCAGTAGTATAAGAGGCACCGATCAAGCATATGTTTTGGGGGATTATTAATGATGATATATGTTTGAGGGGGATATAATATTCATATGTCAACGGGGGAGGGGGGGGGGCACTATTAACATTTATATAGTCTTGAAGGGGAGCAACTAGAATTCATAACTGTCGATGGAAACGTATTACGTAATGCGTAAGTAAAAGCTATGCACCACGATTATGCCACTGTATCAGTGGTATGCAATAATCCCTGTAGCTAGTTTAAACCGGTTTCTTTGCGATTGTCAAGAAAGCGTGATTTCGTCGCAGGTGTGACGCGAAATTTCTGACTTGCAAAATATCCGACTATTGTAGAACTGCCAATGCGCAGACGATGCACATGACTTTGGATCATAAATTTCGCAACTCAACACGTGTATTTATAAAGTCATTTTATTTATAAATAATTTTTCAAATTCTACAATTGATCAACGAATTGACACTATACCACTGGTTGTGAACGTTAGACCGACTCGATTTAGTAAATGTCGCGTATTTCGCGGCCACGGCCACACAATCCGCTTCCAAATTTGAAGTGTTTGTAAATTGAAACTTAGCGATATCGATTTGAAATATTTAACATCATATTCATAATGATTATCTAAACTCTAAAGGACACTAAAGTTTTGGCTGACTTCCGACCCGTCAAGCTTGGTCACTGGTCAGGTATTTCGCCGAGGTCAGGAATTTAGCTTGACACCGGTACAAAGAGACTCACTGTGGAATGATTGACTGAATTAAGTGTCATACTTTACATCAAAACTTTATCAGAAATTCTATAGTGAAGTTACATTCTTACGAACTCCCACATAAATAGTTTGTATTTACTGTTGTTCTTTAGTCTGTAAAGTAAATATTTTTTTATATGCTTTATAAACATGTTCGTTTTAGTCATGTTCAATTGGGGGCAATGCCCTGTTTGGCCACCAGTTGCTTTGAAAAATCACCTACCTGGCTACTTGTATTTAGTCCTGTATATAGTCATACATTTATGTAAAATTTTTCGAATGCAACAAAGTTATTAAATCAAATCAGTTCTAAACTGTTCTCCCTAGTAAGGATCATCTCTTGTTGATCCAGTGTTACAACAAAAGGAAACCTAAACTAAACTAACTTTATTTATACTGGATGGCTCTATCAGTTCTAAACTGTTCTTCCTAGAGGTCCAGTAAGAATCATCTCTTGTTGATCTAGTGTTACTACAGGAGGGAACCTTAACTAAACTAACTTTATAGCCTTTATACTGGATAACTTGATCATTTCTAAACAGTTTTCGCTAGAGGTCCAGTAAGAATCGTCTCTCTGAACATTTAAAACTGGTAACTGTTTCAATTTGGTTCCCATCTATTTCAAGGGGTTGATTTTAACACAGCGAGAGTTTTACTGCAGTAGACTTTCAAGGTGAAATTCCAAGTTAATTCTTAACCAGTAGGATAGTGATTGCTTTATAACGCTCATTGCGTTCTTGCCAAAAAACATTCTAATTTGCTTTGTTATGCAAAATCGTAATCAAATTTGTTTTTATTAAAGTCGACATCACACTGACAATAAATCATTTTCGCCGAATAAAGGCGGTTTTCCAGTCCTCACACGAAGCTCCTCGCAGCTCGCTGCGAGTGCTTGCATCTAATTAAAATTAACTCTTAAGCATTGTGATTGGATGAAAGTGCTCATGCATGCACTCGCAGCGAGCTGCGAGGAGCTTCGTGCGAGAACTGGATTGCGCCCTAACGCAGTTTCGATACCATACGTTTACATGCAGTATGGCTAGCGGAGAGTCGACAATTCTAGACATTAACAGTCCAGGTAGTGAAGAGTCGGCATTTGTAGACACTAACAGTAGCGGAGGGTCTGAAAAAGGCTATTTTTGTTAGCTTATAGTAGAATACTATATGGTCGCTAAATACTAAATACTAAATACAAATATTTATTCGATGAGTATTCAAAATGAAACGGGCTCAAATCACATCCAAACCCAAACAGTAAAGCCAAGTACACCTTTCAATAGAAGTGAATTTAAGAAATTATCACAAATAATTGGCAAGCTGTGGTTAATCATGCAATCATTCCCCCCATCCCCCAACCCAATACTATACAATTCTACAAGCTAATTTCGTTTGGCATGCAATTGCCAAACTTCATCTGCAAAGCCAAAGAGGTGAAAGAGCCTCCGAAACGTTGTTACTTGTCAATAGATAATAACTTAATACGCAATAAAATTTCTTAGTATTCTTCAAACTTCAAGAAAACCAAAAAGAATGGAATTTCTGGTCCGTCATGGCGTTCGATGTTTAGAGTGGCAGTTTTAAAATTGCCTCAATGTCGGTTTTTGAAACGTACATCAAATGTTGCTGTCGCTTTTTCGCGCTTCTTAATCGTCGACCATTAGGATTTTAGATCTGTTGTCACCTATAAAAATGTCTATCGGCTGTCGCAATTTACCCCTACAGGGTTCTGTTAGTGCATATGCTATACGCCCATAGTTTGCTTTTGTTATGTAAAAATTAAGACAAACGTGAAAACAACATTTTTGGTTACTGACAGTTTCGAAATCATTACGAAGCAGTTCTTGAGTGTTCTTAATCTCTATCTCTTCGTTTTCAGTATGCCTGGCAGAAAGGTACTGTATATTGCTACATTATTGGATCAGTATTGTTGCTTTCTTCTTGTTTCCTTGGGCCAGTAGTTCAAAGGTGGGTTAACGCTAACCCTGGGTTAAAATTTAACCTGCTGTTTTAGTTTGTGTATTTCTGCACGTCTGCTTATTTCAAAACTTTAGAGAGGTAAACTCCTATCGATCCAGAAAAGATCTCTAAAGAAAAACTTCCAAATTTATAGACAGCTGTCAAGAAGTTTGCTTTGAATTTTAGCTTAACCTAGGGATAAGCTAACCCAGCATTGACCAACCGCCCCCTTACCACCTGAACCCAAGAAAGGACAGAAAGAGCGGTATCTTAACTATAAATCGGCTATAAACAGTGTTATGACCACTTTGGTGAATTGCATGTGGGCAACTTTTCCTTCATTACACAGAAAGGGAGCTTATTCGGGAGGGCCGGGGCAATTAATATAGCGCATGACACACTTCACTTTACTAAAGAAAATTTTTATTGTGTTATTAGTTACGTAAAACAGAAGAAATCGAATGTAGTCCAGCAGTAACCCATAAAGATATAAACAGTTACTCTGCGCATTGCCCAAAAAACTGTGTGAATTGCAGACGTGTGATGCAGAAGGCACGTCTAATTGTCACACAGGTCGGAGAATCGTGTCGTAAGGATTTCGCGATTACGTGCTATGGTGATCATATTTCCTTACGTTTCTGGTCTGGTTCTCGTAGAAATAAGATTGTAGTTCTGGTATTCCAAGGAGAAATACATGTAACAACTAGAGAAACTTCGCTAGAGTGGCTCAGAGGGCTGTTTAGACTGTAACTGGGAAGATTTCAAGAATGATATCCTCTATTTTGTGGAAGTGGGAACTGGAACACGCGTCCGTCAAATAATAGATAATTAACTTTTTTGTCACTATCCTATTTACGTAGAAAATTTTTATCGTAATGAGCTTAAGCAAGGGACGTGCTCGTCAACAGAGACGTCACCGTCAAAATGGGAATAACTAATTCTTGCATCATAGACATAGCGTTCGTGTAAGGAAGCAAAAAACTTTAAAAATCTTATGTTTTCTCATGTGTGTTGAAGATTACCACAAACTGTTTTAATCCAGTCCCCCCTCGGCAATCCAACGTCCGAGTTGAAAAAAACCTGCGCTTGCTCAAGCTTATACTTGATAAAGTATAACTATCGATATAAATTAGCATTGAATTGTATTGATACATTTGATTATTGTTGTACAAGATTAATTTTCCGATTTACCTACTGTAGGACTTTAATTTCAAAATTTTCCTTTTAAAAATAATTGTGTTGACATTGCGTTAATATTTTTAATTGTTGTATTATTATTTTTATTGTATAGATGACCAAACAGTATTGCAATAGGTAACATAAACATACTTGATATGCGCATGGTTTCCAACAGAGATTTTCATTTAGGATTAAATTTAATCCGTTCCTATCAAGTAATGAATTTATCATCAAATACAAGAGTACCCATGTATTTTGAGTTGACGAATAACATATTAATCAATTTTATCAATGTCAACAAACAGTTTTATTAGCCCGCATCCATAACTACTGTTTTACAGAGCGTCACAGCGCAACAGGATCCGCGTGAGAATCACAGATATACTACATGGTGTCGTCGGCAAATAAATTTCAGCTAAATGTGATGTGTTAGTAAAGCCTATAGTTTCCATTTGGTCGTTAGTTGTCGCTGGCACGACAAGTGGCTGATGTAATAGAGTGTCAACAAAAAACTCTGCAATCATTAAGACTGATTTGCATATCACACAAACAGACTGTTATTTTATTAGACTCTTTCACATCTACCGCTTGTAGTGCCAGCGACAGCTAACGACCAAATGGAAACTAGGCTTAACTAAACAAGATAATTTACGTTGAGAATGAAAAAGTGGGCTAAAATTTAACCTCGAGACACACCACACTGAATGAATTGTTCATTACAAGAAAAATAAGTGTTATAACTGACGAATTGTTTTCGATATTTGAAATAACAATGCAACACCACGGATGCCATAGAGAACACCTGCATCTTTATTTATTCTTATGATAGTTGCCATTCTGTTAGTAAAATGTATATTTGCTGCCGAAGGCAGCACACTATTCTTGACATGAAGTACTACGTGCCGGCGTTTACTTGTGTCCAGTCTCTTTGGCCGAGTTATGAAAAGTCGATCGAGATTTCGATTTTGTGAATTTGTGTCTGTCTGTTTGTTTGTATGTAAAGATGTCGTAATTCCGGGGAAATAATTAAGGCTTCAGGAAGATTTTTTAAACGAGGGGGGCGGTAAAAATTTATTTTGTATTGCGCTCGCATGATACACTGGCATGTTGGATTTTCA